TATATGGAAGATATATGCACAGAAATAGACTCAGAAGAGTACATATGTAAAGGAAGTAATAAACTAACGATAACCGAAGAAGCCCCTTGTGCAGTCCAATTAATAAATTTTAAGAAGAAGGCATTATCATGTGAACATTTTGAAGTAAAGATAAAGAAGATAGAATCCACAAGAATTAGCGACGGAAAATGGATAGTTACAGTTCCAGAAGAAGAATTAGCAATTATCGAATGCCCAAATTCAAAAGAAAATTTACCAATACATGGAAGCTATGTTTTAGAATCAGTTCCCGATTGTACCGTGAAAATCAAGAATGAAGTCTTCCAAACAGAAAAATTTAGTAAAACTCATTTTGCTCATATAAATCTTCCAAAAGTTATTCCTTCTATTAATATTTTTCAAAATGAAAGTTCAAATTTTTCACCAATAAATCTTAATACAATTAACCTTAGAAAGACTAAAGATATTTTAGAGAAGTTAGAAACACAAAAATATAATTTGAAAGATAATAATTCAATTTATTTTAAACAAACAAGTTTTTGGACAATCTGTATATATATAATAATTTTCATTTTAATTTTATATTATTTAACTAAATATTGTAAAAATGTGCGTCAAAGAAAACAAGAAGAAAGAAGAAAAGAAGAAACCCCGGAATTAATTTTGTAAAGAAGCACATCCCAAGGATATCCTTCTTTCTAAGGGTGGAGGAGTTACGTCCCTGGATTATCCAATGTGTGACGACATATAGAAAGACTATATATACCAGTGTTTAATTAGATTAAGAGCTTTTTGTTTTGTAGTTGTTACCATACCTGTACGTTCTCAAAAATAAATTTTGTTACGAAAATAAAATTTTTTAAAAATCCGTTTTCGGTTTTGACATTCGTAACTGTAGAACATTAAACTTAAAAATCGACGTGTTTTAGGTTTTTTTTTAAAAAGGTTTTTCATTAAGGATATAAAAGGCTTTTCATAATAATAAATTAAAGGAATATCACATACACATATTATAAATTTTCCGAAGATGGAACTTCTCTCGTTTGGGAGAGTAGATGAAAGAGTTGGATATACTATGTTGCATATATTTTTGCTACTGTAAGTAAAGGATTACCACTCAATTTCCCAACTTTTTCCATCCTATGTAGATAATTCATTGTATTTTAGGCCCACTTAGGTAGCGTGTTTAGCCAATTCTACTTTTTCATTCCTGGAATTTTTAAGTGACCTTTTATCAACACAAAATTAAACGTCCTTAATCCGTAATTCCCTTAATCCTTAATTTCCTTAATCCTTAATCCTCAACTTTTCAAGTTCAGCTACAATTACTAGGTTGGTGTATATGCAGTTAGAGACGTGTCTTAATGCGAGGAAGATGGGCAGTGAGTCGGATAAAATTATATATCCTTCGAAATATAATATGGTATTAATTATCCAATCGAACACCTTTCCAATGACTACCAATTAAGCTGTGAATATTAAACAATCTGATTTTAATTTGTACTGAAAATAATGTTTAATAGTGTCTATATAAATCACACAGCCGACACCAGCAGACGATTTTGAGCCATCGGTATAAATTTTCCAAGAGTAGTTTCAGTCTTCCAGCTTATCTTGTACTAATCTTCGTGAACAATTTAACTATATAAAGAAATTTCTGCAATAGGTTTATGTTCATATAATATGTCATAATTAGAACCAAAGAATATAATTCCTACTTCCTTGATTGAATGTGATAGATTCGGAGAAGCAATAGCTAGAGTCTGAGAGTTTTTATTTGCCCACGATCTGTGTTAGATTTTCAACAAAGAGACAAGATATTCTCTATAACAAGCTGTTTTGATTATTAAACTGGCATTTAAGAATAAATTTTTCTGTCAAAAATAGACGTTTTAGATGTAAAGGTGGCTTTACATCACATTTCGCCAAAAGGACTGGTGCAGTAGTAGATTTGAGTGCTTCTAAGACTAGCCTTAATGCTTTGTATTGTATTTGATCAAATTTAATCAAACGAGATTTTGTCGCTGATTCATAAAAGTGTTTTCAAAATATGATGATCTCTTAAAAATTAATCTGGTATGTGCTCTGTAAAATAATAAGTTTATTTTCGGGTCTGCTCCTAAATCGTATCGATTAACTGCCTTAAGGAAGTTAAGGGTTTTTTTTCACTTTCTTAACATTTTTTAATTAAATTATTAATATGCTAATTTCAAATTAATTTGGAATCTAACGTAACACCTAGAAATGTAAAACTGTTATATACAGGGATTTCCATTAAGGATATTTCCATATTCATATTTCATAATATTGAAAGTTAAAATACGTTTATTGACGTTTCAACTTCCACTTCGTAAATCGTTCTCAAAATACAAACATTAATAAATTAAACAAATTTTGTTCCTTGTTACTTGTGAAAAATTCTTCTAATAATTTAATTTCATCTGACTCATTTATATTGACAATTGACAATTTATATTGAATCTTCTTGGCGAAGATTAGAGCTGACGTTGTGACACCCCCATATCCTAACCTCAACAGTGCAGTGCAAGTGGCGTTTGACAAAAAACTGTGGATTTCATCTTTTACAATGTCGTCTTCTGACCTTCGCTCGCCCATAATGCATACCTAAACAGAATAGATGTTTATCACTCAAGACAATTACATTCGATTCCTTGTCTCAAACCAAGTTCTCTGTACCATTCAAGACAATTCACTCAGCCTGGTTGAAATGAAAAAAAAAATTAAAAACTTCTAATTCGGTGCTAAATTGTTCGCATCCCACCAATTGGTCTTCCATGTTCTGTAAACTTTTGATTTTCAATAGACCTGGTAGTGGAGAAGCATTCTCTCAGAGCCAATAACCTTCGGCGCCGCCCAATATTTCCCAATGTTCGTCTCGATCTCGTCGATGTCCGATAACATCTTAACATAGTATCTAAGCTTATGTGAACCATATTTGCCATTACTCGAAAAGAAAATCCTTTTAGAGCAACTATCCGCCCACTATCAAACTCGCTTAGTTGATAGAAATATATATGCGTCTTCGTACTCTAGGCATTGTAAATGAAAGGCCGAAAGAACTGGAAAAAAAAACAGAAGGTCTATGTTGAGCTTTGAAGGCAGAAGTCTGGATGATATCCAAATATGAGAACCAAAATAGAGAGCCTGTACCCGTATATAAAGAAAAATTTGCTCACCTACATTTACATTATGTCCCTGTCCACTTATGTATTCTTGGGTCCAGCATTTGGCGTGCTCTAAAGTTGGACGTAGTTCCAATTGACGGATCTCTTGGTAGATGTGGTATCGAAGTTTATTCCTTCATCGTCGATAAAGATCGGTATAGATACAACAAACTCCATTCGACGATGATAGCAGCTAGTGAGAAAGCATCTAGTATTACTGGAATGGACACTTTTCGTCTTTTTTTATTTTTATTTTAAGATTTCATTTTTCATATTTCTTTTTTTCTCTCATTTATTTCTTCATTTTCAGAATTTACTTCTTGACTCTAATTTTGGCTTTATTTTTTAACTTGTATTTCTTGCTCTCATTTTGGCTTTATTTTATAGCTTTGTTTTTGGCGCTTTTTGTATTGAATGCAAAATTGGTAAGTGTCAATTTTCTGGTAGAGAAATCTTGAACTCATAGATGAAACCCCCGGAAATGAATGAAGGTTCTGCTTCTAAATGGGCCTACCTTCTAGTGGTGTTGGTAACCACATTGGCTCATCTTATTCTATTTACAGTATCTCGATACAGATCAGTTGGCATTAGATCAGTCCATTACTTAATATTGGTCAGCCAGGATATACGTCTTCATCCCTGTTGCCCTCAATATTGCCTTGTACAATCAACTGTTGAAGTCAGTATTTAATATGACGCATAATGTGGTCAAAGTAAGCCAATTTTCTGTTATTTACGGTGTTAATAAATTTCTTTGTTTTTTCTTAGCCTCTGGAAAATGTTAGTTTTGTGGTATATATATGAGACCCTTAACATACATCGGGAGCACTACATTCCTAATGCCTCTAACTTTTTTATGGCATCTTCTGTAAAAGTCAACCTTTCTAACAGGTTAAGTTACAGAAAATCTTCCTAAGACCGTTACAAGAGCTTCCGGATTTTTCAATGCGAGTTTTTATTTCGTAACTATAAAAACTATGAGATTTTATTAATATTGCAGCCCTGATAGCATATGGTCTTCATTCTTTCTAACGGTGTATTGTTTATTGTAATTTGGACGTTTATGTTGGTGTTCTTACTAATCTTATTTTTGTCTCCTTACAATTGAGTTTTAGGCCGTATTTGTACCATGTTTCTACAACCTACATTCTTTGAAACCCCTGGGCACTATCTGCCAAGAATATGATATCATCTGCATATCTAATATTTTTTATGAGTTGGCCATTAACTGCAACACCATCTTTTTTCTCCATCTTCCAGAGTTTCTTTAAATATGTTCTTACAGTATATGTTAAATATTGACAGTATGCAACCCTGTCGAACTGCTTTTCCGACAGTGAAGATCTCGGATAGTTCATTTTCGAATCACACTGTTGCTTTTTGTTGGAGATCTTAGTTTGAGATTAGTCTTATATCCTTACTAACAAGTTCTGATGTTTTTGTTATATCGATTACTTTACCATGTGGTACTTTGTCAAATTCCTCTTCAAAATTAATAAAACATGAATACACATCGCAGTTGACGATCCTGGTCCTATGTATTAGAACTGGCAAACTAAAAAGAGCTTTCCTCGTTTAGAGTGCTGCTCTCAATCCAAATTGGACTTTACTTAGGTGTTCTTCTAATTTGGTGTATATGCGCGAGTGAATGAGAATAAGGTACTTTAAGTACATGGCTCATTAGAGCTTCATAAGTGCTTTGATTCGGTGTTCCTCTAATAGCTTTAAAATTTATCTTCTAGTCATATTAAAAATATCTTAAAAATAAAACTAAATAAAAACTTGATCCACGTGAATAAGACAACTTATATTTAGAAAATATAATTTTATTTTAAAAAATCTTAACTTACACATTATTTTATATATCTTATTATACTATCACACTCACTACCTTCGTTGCTTTCAGAAATGCATTCGTAGTTTTCCATGTACCGCACCCATATTCATTCTTGATCAACGGCATATCATTTTCTGATCTTTATATTTTTCATAGATTATAGCGGTAAATTACTAAACTGGAGAAAATTTGTGATTTGAAATTGTTAAAATTTTCAAAAATTGAAAATTTAAAAAACATCTCTACGTCGCATCATTTTCAATCACTAATTATTGTCAATGTCTTATAGTAATACTGATTATATTTGGAAAATCCAAACAATATAGATACTTATAAGTACCCTTTAATACATCCATAAACTTTTATGCCATCTCTCGCAATATTTTGGTTTCCTCGCTTAATTTAACTTTCTTTTTTCCAAAATATTCCTCAATTTCTTGCAAACTTTTACCTTTGGTCTCTGGCAACAAGAAAAAGACGAAAATAGTTCCAATAAGTGCAATTACTCCATAGAAGCAAAATACACCTGATCTTCCAAGGCTTTGAACCATATCGGGATAGATCTTAACAGCTATAAAATTAAAGAAGTAACCCATACCTGAAATAATACCGGCTGCAGTCCCTCGGACTTTTGTAGGAAAGAGTTCTGCAGCTAGAGCAAAAGGAAGAGGAAGAAAACCTATCGAATTTGTAACAAAATAGACAAGTAAAGAAATTAATGGAAGGAAGGTCAAGCTATTTCCACTTAATGAACCATTCTCTTTAAGTTTGATATAAAGTGCCAACGGAAGTAAACAGGACGCTATACCGATACCCGAGAATAAAGACAGTGGCCTTCTTCCGAAACGTTTGGCTAAGAAACTGGGTAAAATAGCACTAATCAAACGTACGGCACCAATTACGACAATAGTAATGTAAGGATCAAATGTTATGCCGGCATTATTAACTATATCTATAGCGTAAAATATGATAACAAATATACCACTGAATTGTTGGAAGAAAAAGTAAGTTAAAACCAAACCCATCGGTCTTAAACAATGGGGTTGCATTAAAAATTCCAACTTTCTTAAAATTTTCCTATACATTGGCTTTTCCAATTTCATATTCGGTGCTCCTTTGTTTTTTATTAAGTTGTCCAGCTCAGCTTGTATATTAGCAGTTAATCCGGTATCAAAAATTCTGCACAAACTAGTTTTTGCTTCTTCTGTTCGATATTTTCCGACCAGCCACGTGGGTGATTCCGGTATCAAAAAGGTTGTAAATAAGATTCCGACGCAGGGAAATACCGCAGTTATCAAACAAATTACTCCAAGATTGCTCTGTAACAAAAATTCTAAAATTAAAATTATAAAAATTTATCACTGCTGATTGAAATGATATTATAAAAAACTATTGCAAACTTCTGAGCTATTCCCTTCTGAAATATAATGGAAAATATGGAAGTACCTAACCACTTTTTTAACCTAATAAGAAATATGTATGAAAAACAACTCAGCCAAAGTTAAAATACACGGAATATATTCAGATGCGTTCAATACAAAGAAAGGAACTAGAGATGGCTGCATACTATCACCATTATTGTACAACATAAATTCTGAATGTATAATGAGAAAAGTACTAAACGGGTGGGATGGAGAAATCACTATAGAAGGCAGAAAAATCAGTAACTTGGTATACGCAGATGTTACACTTATACTAGCAGCGAATGAAGTCGAAATGATTACCATCACTGAATGGCTAAGCTGGATAAGCGAAGAGTTTGGACTTTAGATCAACACCGAAAAAACAAAAATAATGATCGTAAATAGAGGCAATAATATTTTACCGCACATACACCAAGTAGCAAACTTCGAAGAAATAAAATGTGGACTATCAATGACCCAAACCGCTACAGCTACACTTATTAAAATATGGCCGAACAAGAAATACTAAGCTCATTGGTCAATGCTCGTATTTTTCCCATTGCTACATGGAAAACAGCTTAAACATGGAATCTCAAAAAAATCGATAGGAATAAGATCAAATCCTTCGAAATGTGGGTCTGTAGAAGAATTCTACGTATGTCCTGGACAGAACATAAAACCAACCTGTTTCCATTCTGGAAGAGCTTCATATAAAAGACAGGCTATTAAAATAAGTAAACCGAGCATTTCTTATTTACTTCGGCCACATAGCTAAAAGAGCGGGACCGTGGAACTATTGGTGGTAGAAAGAAAGCTAGAAGGCAGAAGACCAAGAGGAAGATCTTCAACACGATGAAAAAATCCCTACATGAAGCTGTCCATATGGTACAGAATTGAAGCCAATGGAGGCGGCAAGCCAATAATATTTAGAATGTCACCACGCCCTAACAAGGGCTCAAGAAATCAAGGAGAAGGAGGATATATCTATCTATCTATCTAATCAGCCTTAAACGCCCACTCTTGGGCATAGGCCTCCCCTGTTAATCTCCATTGGTCTCTATTTTGGGCGATCTGAATCCAGTCCTTTCCTGCCGTTCTCTTAAGATCGTCAGTCCATCTCATCTGTGGTCTTCCTCTTTTTCTTTTCTTTTCCCATGGTCTCCAGTGTAGAATTCGCTTAATCCATCTTTCATCTTTTTGCCGGAGAGTGTGAGCGGCGAAGTTCCATTTAAGTTTTGCAACCTGTCTTGATACATCGTTCACCTTTGTTTTTTCTCTGATCCATAAGTTTAGTTCTTTTTATTCTTCTGTTTGATTTAATTTATTCTGTTTGACTACTATTTCTAATTGGTGTTCTTGGTTTGTCATAGTCTTGGTTTTATTATAGTTCATCTCTAGACCTACCTCTGTCGCTTTTCTATCTAGTTCCTCAACCATCTTCTGTAACTCTTCCTTCTTATCTGTTATCAGGACTACATCGTCTGCATATCTCAAGTGGTTCAAGAGCTCTCCATTTATTCTTATTCCGTATGTATCCCATTCTAATTTTTTACATATGTCTTCCATAGCCTGATTGAACAATTTTGGTGATATTGTGTCTCCCTGCCTGATTCCTCTTTCGAATTTTATTGGTTCTGTAGCGTGTTCGTTCGTCAATTTTATTGTGGTACTCGTATTTTTGTATATGTTTGTTATTAGGTCCATGTACCTGTAATCAATTCTGCCGTTCTGTAGTGAGTTTTTGATGGCCCGATGTTCTATGCTGTCAAACGCCTTTCGGAAGTCTATGAATGCCATGTATAATCGGATTTGATACTTGTTCGACTTTTCAATCAGTATTTTTACTGTTAGCAGATGGTCGCTAGTACTAAAACCCTTTCTGAATCCCGCTTGTTCTCTTGCTTTTCCTTCCTCTCTTCTCTTTTCTCTTTTCTACTTCTTCTGAGATATAATTGTCCTTTTTTGTCGTCGATTTTGCAATTCTTTCCCCGGCCTGTAGCAATGTAGTTGTTAGTATTTTATTTATTTCGTTTGGAGGAGGAGGATCACAAAGGATTAATAAAGTATCTTTAAATTTTAATCTTCTATATGACCGCTTTCTACATCGCACCAACGCACCTACTATACAAAAGATTTACAATATTAGTATTGTGTTATAAATACAAAAAGCCTATGTAACTTACGTCTGACTAAAAGTACCACAATACTACTCTTACTCAGTGCCTACAGTACTTTAAGAATTACCAAATTTTTTCATTTAAAATAATTACAAAATATTAACTACCAGCTATTCTTTTTGGTAAGGCGTGGTTTGGTAAAATAAATATTGCAAATTATTGAAGAATTACACAGCTTTGATAATTACTTTTAAATATTTTATAAATGAAATAAAAGATATGATATGAAAATTTAAAATCAATTATAGATTCTTTTATAATAAAGCAAAACACTACAATGCAAGTGTAAGACATAAGATCATACAGCGTAATATCATCTGGTTCAGATCATTATAATGTAAAGTCAAAGAAAGTTATTTCATTCATTTATAAGACAGAAATTAAACCAGACAACCGAAATAAAAAAAAATTTTAACCCTTTTTTTCTAGTCGAATTGTCGAATAAAGGCCTGTCCCCTTTCTCGACATTTATTGGTTTTCACATTGGTCTTGCGACTCTTTTAATATCGTCGCTCCAGCGTATTTGAGGTCTTCCTCTTCGTCTCTTCACTTCGTACGGTTGCCAATGTTGAACTTATGTGTTCCATGTTCCATCTTCGAGACCTTCGTTGTGACCAGCCCATTTCCACTTTAACTTAGCTGCTTGCTACACGGCGTCCCATACTTTTGATTTGTTCCGGATTGCTTTGTTTTTTTGTCGATCTGTGAGTGAGATACCAAGTATCTGTCGTCCCATGGCTCGCCGAGTTTTTTTAATCTTGTCCATGTTAATTTTTGTGAATGTCCAGGTTTGAGTTCCGTAAGTAAGAACGGGAAGGATAAATGAGTCGAACAGTTTGGTTCGAAGATTTTGTAGTATCTTTTTGTCTTTCAGTATCGATAAGAGTTTTCTTAATGTTAATTCGGCTCATCCCATTCTTACTTTCTTCTTCTTCTTCTTTCTAGTATATTGGCTTTAAAGCCTATTTCTTCTTCAATATTAGCCTCCTAAATTGTTGAAATTGTCGCACCATCTTTTTCTTGATCTGCCAATACTTCTTCGTCCATTTGGTGAATTATCTCGTGCTATTAGTACTATTCTATTCTCTGCTATTCTACTGATATGTTCATTCCATTCGTGTTTTCGTTTTGTCACCCATCCATTTATGTCTTCTATATTTCATGCTCTTCTTGTGTTTTCGCTACATTCTTACTTGTCTATTTATTTCAGTAGTTTGGTTTTTTTTGTTACTTTAATATTTTGACCCAGAAATTTATGTATACTTCTACATGTTCTACTTTTGTTTCTTTTGATCATCTTTGTTCGACATTAGTTTAGTTTTGCTCATATTCATTTTCAGTCCTTTTTAAGGAAGCTCATCGATCATCGTCTTCAGTTCTTTCCAACTGTTGGCTATTAGTACTATGCCATCTAGTCAGTACTCTGCTACTATTATTACGTCATACCCCATAATTACATGCTGTAAAAAGCTTTTTTGTAGTCTATAAATGCTTCACAGACTGGTAAATTGTATTCGTTAATTTTATCTATTAGAACTTTTAGTGTCATTTCTAATAGCGATAAAAGACGTTATCCACTTACTGTACCCAACAGAGATACCCCTAGGAATAATCAAAACGATCGAAAATATCTACCAAAACAAAACAATAAAAGTAAAAGTAGAAGAAGAACTAACCGACCCTATTGAAGCTGGCAATAGAATAAGACAGGGAGATACCCTGAGTCCTCTATTGTTCAACCTGATTATGGATGAAATAATAAAACAAGTAAGAACTAAAAAAGGATACCAAAAGGGAGAAAAACAACTTAAAATAATCTCCTATGCAGACGATGCAATACTACTCTATCACAATGAAGATGATTTGCAACGTATGCTGCACCAATTTAATATAAACGCCAGAAAATTTAACGTGGTAATTTCCCCAAAAAAGACAAAATGCATGGTCACAACAGCAAATTTACTAAGATGTAAATTGTAGCTAGAAGGTCAGATAATAGAACAAATAATGGAGTAAAAATATCTAGGCATCACATAAGTTAGCTACGGAAAGCTCAAAACTGAAGTTGAAGATCAAGATCAGTGAATAGAGCAAACAGAGCCGCAGGCTGCCAGAATGAAGCAATATGGAGAAATAAAAATATCAGGAAAAAAACGTAAGGCAAAATAAAAAAGTCATTAGACTAATGACATACGCGGCAGAAGCAAGACCTGACACAGAAAGGACAAAAAGGACGTTAGAAACAGCAGAGATAAAACAACAGAAAAATTGATGATAAGACACTATCGAACAGAGCTAGAAGTACAGATATACGGCGTAGATCCAAGGTGGAGAACATCAAGAACTGGGTAAGAAATAGAAGAATAAAATGGAAAGATCATATAAGCCGAATGACAACATATAGAGTAGTAAAAACGCATATAGAGTAGTAAAAACGACAAGAAACGGTTCCCCAATCGGAAGACGATCAGTAGAAAAACCACGAAAACGATGGAACGACAACTTAATGGAGGCACATTAAAAAACAGACAGAGTCATGTCTATATAAAAAGAAGAAGAAAAAAAAGAAGAAGAAAAACTTTTAGTGTGTAAAGATGATCACATGTGCTAAACCCTTTCTGAAACCTCTGAAGCCCGCTTGCTCTATTGGTTGATATACATCGAACTTTTCTGTCACCTGGCCAAAAATGGCATTTTTTATTTCTGCATTCCATAGTGATAATATTTTTACTTCCTAATTTCGTTTTGGCATATTTGATACTTTGATCTTTCTCCATCACTTTTTCTATATATTTTGCTTGATGTTTTCTAATATCCTCTTTTATCTATTTTCGTATGGGTTGATTTAGTTCTGTGTATTCTGTGGTATCTTTTTTGTTTAGTGACAAAAGTTTTTCTCGCGAGCGATTTCTCACTTATTTTGGTGTTTTGAATTGTTGTAAATTCAATACTTTGGTGGTTTATAGTGTTATTAGTATATTTTTCTTTATTGGCCTTTAGCTTTTCTGTATTTAATTGTCTCGTGCTTTTAAACTTAGTTCTCCTCTAACTATACTTAACAAAAAGATATTTTGAAGAAAATAAATGTAAATATTGTGTAATTGATATATGTGAAACAAATATAAATAAACTTGGATAGTTCAATCCTCACTACTCCAAAATAATTGTCTCATCTTTCAGAAACTTATATTCTGATCCAGCAAACCTACAAATTCCATTTAATAAGATATTAGTTTGAAGAAAAAAATCGGTCCCAAAAAATATTTTATTTAAAACATTTTCCTGTTTTTCAGGAAGTCTTAAAGATAGAAAGCACATAATTAAAGACCCTAAATGTGAAACCCAAAACAGACGCAAATCTTCTGCTCGTCTTCGAAAGGAAGATACTAAGAAGAATAATGGGCGCATTCTGTGAGAATGGTATTTGGAGAAATCGATATAATTTCGAATTGTACGAGAAGTATAAAAAAATAGTAAATGGTAGAGATGTAATATCCTTCATAAATATAGGTAGGCTTAGATGGACTGGACATGTATCAAGAGCAAATGAAAATTACCCACCCAGACGAACTCTATTATCGGTCCCAGTGGGAAATAGGAGTAGAGGCAGACCACGACTGAGATGGAGGGAGGGTGTGGACGAGGACGCAAGGAAAATCGGCGCGGCAAATTGGCAACGGTTGGCGATGAACAGAAACGACTGGCGAAATAGACTGGGGAAGGTCAAGGCTCAACTAGAGCTGTAGCACCACTGATGATGATGATGAAATGTGAAACCATATAGCAATATTGTTGCATATATCCAATGGAACAAAGTAGCACTGCAAAGATGCTTAGCTAATGAATTAAGATCTGATACTAAAAACATATTTGTTCAAGATATAATTTTCTTATTTTTGTAGTTTTTAAATGATTTATAATAGTATTACTAAGAGGTGATTTTATCGTTATAAATGAATTCAACAAAGTGCTAATGTTAGCTTCTCATTTCCAAAAATTGTCAATACGGCTGGACAGAGAAATATGTAAAAAGTGTCCTTCAAAACTCGAATAAATAAGAATATCTTTTAAGTATCGGTTTATCAGTTGTAGCAAACTGTATGTAGATTTGATTATGTCACAAGATAGTGTCGATGTGATTACCATATAATGAAATTTATGATAATTACGAATATATCTTAAACTCCTATTTCAGCTTACATATATTTAATTAAAACTATCGATGATATAATTATTTGTGTATTTATATTTCCCAGTACGAGACACAAATGAGAGGCAATTTAATTTAGTTTATATAAAAAATTTTCCAATACTAAATATTATACTGACCTGAAAAAGATATCCCAAAAAGTACACTACCAACACTCCCAACGAAAACGATACAGAGGCCCATGTCGTGAAGATCCCCCTCAAGTCAGGCGAAGATATTTCAGCCATGTAAACAGTAGCTGGGGAACTACATAGTCCTGTTGAAAGCCCAGTTAATACTCTTCCCAATAAAAGTATCCAGAAATGGGATTGTTCTACGTAACAAAATAGAGCAATTGTTATCCACCCTAAGAGGCATACAATATTGACGAAAAACAGTGCCATTCGTCTTCCATATCGATCAGCAAAAGGACCAGCAAAGAAACAACCAAAAGGTGTTGCTAAAGATGCGATACTTGCTAAAAGAAAGAAAAAAAAGTTATCAAAATCTAATATAGCAGCTCTACAATCACGTCTTGTAGAATAGTCAGGCACTTTAGTCAGAGAAAAAAGTAATGGGAAAAGTTTTTCATATATTCCCACATAATATTACAGTAGAAGACAAAATGATAAATATTCACAGAGGACTCCTGTGAAGCTTTCCGGCGGGAAAGTGATTGAACTCATTTTTAATTGGAGGTCAAGGGTGTCGTTCTGCTGGCTAGAAGTTATGTGTGTCCGAATATATTTATATAACTTTCATCTCAAAGCGTAGAAGGTCCATGATATCTTTTTGTTGAATTACTAAAGTATGCATGTCTCGTTTATACTTTAACCAAGAGTTTGTTAGGGTCATGTCAACAGAGCATCTGTTTTATCTATGCCATTGAATTATTATACGTTTGTATAACTTAGAATCGACTTACGTCAATAAAACGTTTTATTTTTTTAATACAATGTTACAATACAATATTTTCTGTACCAACCCCAACTAAGTTGGATACCATTATCACTGGCTTGTTATCTAACCATCTGGTTACTACAATTCCAGCAGAAGAGATCATTTGTTCCGTTGATCCTCTCTCGTTGTTTGAAAAATATTTTAATCAATTAGAGGTGGTTTAGAAAATCTATTAATCCTCTCAGTACCAGCAACAAGTATTGATTTTTGGTTAGGAATTTGTAAATGGTTATAGCTCGTAAAATAATTGTCACAGTACAATGCATGCTTATTAGGTTCAAGTATTTTCGATAATTGCAATACAATAGCGGCACTCTGTCCATATTTCAATTAAGAAGCTTCTATTTTTCTGGTACAACCTTGATAGATTAGAAAATTATAAATCAATCCACTTTCACCACCTAATAAGTACAGTTTTACCTTCCATGGATTAGGTTTGTTTTTGATGTATTACTTTATAAACAATCTCCCTTTGAAGGGTATGATTTTTTCGTCTGTGCAAACATTTTTTTTACCTGCAGTTCTCTACATCCCTTTAGGACTGATTCAAAAACTGGTCAAACTTTCCAAATTTTGTCGTTGCTCTGTCTGGGTTATGGATTGTCAACATAATTTAAGTGAGAACGAAGTTAAAAAAACGATTCAATGTCATTGTGTCTGAAAAAAATATCAATTGCTAAAGATTTATCCCAATACATTCACAGTCTTGGAAATTTTAGACAGCCTGTAGAATAATTAGGCCAAAAAACGATTTTATTTCTTGCAGGTTACATGGTACAAATTTATCAATTCCAGTTTGCAAAGCATACATAATTCGTGTATTGAACGAAAGTTTCAAATAAACTTTCGGGAAAATATTTCAGAAAATATGTAACTGGTAACCCAGGTTATTGTATTAGGTAATTCTCGTGTTATATAGTTACATATTGAACATTATGTAATAATTTTGCATATATTTTTTAGAGTGATAAAGATCATAATTTTCGCCCTGTTTATCATCATCCTCCTTTTCTTCCTCATTATCCTCTTCCTCTTCCTACTCCTCCCCTTTGTTTTAATTTTCTGAGACATCGCATGATGATACTATATGCATTATTATAGCATAAATTATTATATCTGATGCTACCAGAAAGTGTGATTAGGTAAAAGTTAAACAACACAATATTAAGAACTTGAATATAATTGATATTATGTTTTATTTTAATTGGGTATTAACCACAATTTCAGTTTAAAATACGTTTTTTAGACGTTTCGATTTCCATTTTGGAAATCATTCTTAAAATACAAAGTTGTAATGGAAATCGAAATCAATATAATTGATATTCTAATTATTATAGTCACATGATACTGTAGGTAATGTATTTTGACAACAGCTATGACCTTGAAGATAACAGGTAAACTTGTAAACTACATCGGCATGACTTATAGCTCTTGTCAAAATCCATTACCTGTATATGCATTATTTACTTAACCCTTTACTCCACAAGCTGGAGTACCCCAGGGCTCCATTCTTGTTTCAATATTATATACAATCTACAATAGTGACATCCCCCGCCCTCATTATAGATCGGAAACCCTTGTTCTGTATACGGATGACACTGCTCTCCTTATGTCAGAGCCACATAGAGAGTCATAAGATAGTCAAAACTATCTAGATCGAGTCATTAGGTGGTGTAATAAATGGAGAGTAACCATAAACGCCTCCAAAATACCCTTATATTATTCAAATCTTCTAATTGTCGTGATGTTCATGGCCGAATAATAGACAGGGTAAGAAAGAGGTTTAAACTGATGGCAGTGTTGTTCGATTAAATAGGCAGGACGTCATCTTAAACATTATTGCACACCTACAAAACCTAACCAAAGACCGCTAATCGAATACAAGGTATGCGTCTACGTATCACTTAACAGCCGCCAAATTAACACCAGCATGGCCACTAAAAGAAAAATCCTTAGATTCTGCATGAGGAAGTGCAGATACTATCCATCAGCACACATACATCAGGTAGCCAATCTAACACCGATTAAGGACAGAATCCTATCCATCAGCAGGAGGTATGTCCTTCGCACCATTGCAGGCTCGAATAACCGATCCAAACAAATATTAAAGACCCCATGCAATCGCCGAGGTCAAATACTCACCAAGGTTCCTGAAAGAAAAGTTCCATCCCCCCCAGCAAAACTTCTACACAACACTGGAAGCTAATTTTTTGATAAGTATTTTGATATTTTAGAATCAATCCCCATTAAATATCTCAACTAACAACTGCAAGCCAAAAACGCTGATTAAGAGCCGTTCCCAGTATGGCTAGTAATCCCTTGAAGTACCTCCCTTCGGCTTGTTTAGCCGTCTTCATTAACAATTCTTCTTGTGCGCTTCATATATTGTCCATATCACACATGTCACCTTGTGAACCCCAGCTTTTTAGCAATCCACCTTTACATATCTGAGATATATGAGATATTCGACACAGGGTAGCATAATTGGTCATATTTGTAACATATTTAATATTTAAATTTATAGAGTTTTTATAGCGTTCTACACAAAGAAGAAGGCATTTTACTTTCTCTCTTTAAGTTTATGCTCTAGTCACACTATAAGTTTTGCCCTATTGGGTCTCATCAGATAGCAATAGATCTAAGACAAATTTGGAGAAAGTTTAACGTTTAACCAGTACCCTTTACTAAGGAGTGGATATAAGTACATCGTCGCCATGTACCTTGGATAGCAGATAATCAAACCCACTCTATCCCTAAACTATATACCGACCGCCAAAATTTTATATTCTGAAATATTATGCCTCCTCGCTAAGTAACATGCTTCTGCCTATTCGCCCAGCGATTTGCTGAAATTCCTTTCTGTCTTCGAGTTTGTCTTTTACCTACCAATATTTAATGAGTTTCAATAGGAAGAAAAATGTCATAATGAACCCAAATCACAAACTTTTAGACAGAAAGGACAGTGCTGCCTTATAGATGCGAAATACGTTGCCTTTTATAATACTAATTGCAGAAATTTGTTTCTGGACAGGACTAACAGAACTTACCGGAATTGTTATTCCTGTTAGTTTATCAAATACTTTTATTTTCAACTTTTTTGTACTTCCTTATATTACTTACCTTGTTTTAGCTTTATTGTTAGTGAAGTTTAAAAAATACTTTGTACAACTTACCAAACCAAGATAACTCAATGGGATTCAAATGTCCATGAAGTACAGGTAGAGCTACTGCCGAGAATCCCAAACTCATACTAGGACCGACGCTGGAGAAATTGGCTAATATCCCCAAAAGAAACTGAAACATTGTATATATTATAGAAGGCTAGCATGATTATACAATTTTATATATCTCAAAATCTAAAATTAAGTTTAATGATAAATATAATTACATATGTGGCGTTTAGTTTTTTTGTTGTCAAACTGTTGGTAAGATGAAATGGTCAAATGCAGTTAACTATAAGTTAACGTATATTTTAGTACTTAACAAGATACTGACGTTTACTTCGTATTTGAAAAATAGAATAAATAAGACAAAACCAATCCATAGCAACTTAGCTGGAAAAAGAGAGAGCTAGTAATAAAAAGTAAACTTAGACTCAGAACGAAGACTCAGAACGAAGATGGAACTAATCAATAACTTTGTTATACGAACATTAATGTGTCTTGGTGGTTACATCGAGACAAACATACAAAGTATAGAAGTAATAACGTATAAGGCAATTCAGGGTGATATCGTAAATCAAGGGCAATATGAGAAAGGTCTTTTCCAACGCGTATAGGTATTTCTATCACCGCTGTTTCATATTCGGTAAAGCCCATTTTTTTTATTGCTTTGGTCCAATTTGCTTTGATTGGTCAGTGAATAAAAAACAAATAAACTGTACTCGTATTTCTCGGCATCAGTAAAACTTCTATGATCGTTGTTTTAGGCAAAGATGCCTACGTTTTATAAAAGGCAAAGAGGGTCCATCCTTGCTGACTGGACCAAAGAGCAACTTAAAGATTCCCTAAAAGCAGTACAAAATGGAATGAGCCTGAATGAAGCATCAAAGAAGTTTGGTGTTCCATGGTCAACGCTGAAGATAAGAATAGCAAAGGGGTGCTTTACAAAAAAACCTTTAGTTGGAAAACACAGGAATGTGAGAAGAAGATGGTAAAACATATTATAATAGTAGAAAAATTCGGATTTATTCATAAAACAATAAGTCCGAACTCTTAATACGCAAATTGGAAGGAGTTTTACAGACACGATCAAAGTATTTAAATAAGAAAAATGTTGCAAACTTATTTTCATTGCTGGCAGAACAACTTGATAGAGCACAATCTCCTTGATAAACTTTGATGATAAACCAAGAAATATGTATAGTTAACGTAGATAAATCTATACCAAAGGGTAGCGGGTAGACACTCTTTACGATCCCGGTAAAGATAGGTCTGCTTCAGGGATGCGCCCCTGCCCACGCGAGCTCGGCTTTTTCTCCCAATCCTCTTCCGGAAGAAAAACGGACCCTAACCCCTAAATCCTACCCACCAACCCAGACCTACCCAAATCCGCTAAGAATCTCTGGGTAAGACCCGGCTGCCACAAGATGACAATTTGGCTATGCTCCTACAATATTTGAACACTGACGGACGACAATAGATTCCCAGAAATAGAAAGTGAACTAAAGGATATAAAATCGGATATCCTTGGTATATGCGAGACCAGAAGAAAAAGTGATGAGTATAAAATACTAAAAAATGGCACACATTTTACGAATAAAGGTGGCGAATACACGGGAGTGGGATTCTTGGTAAAACAAAGCCTCACACAGTGTATCGAAGAATTCAAGCCCATATCAGACAGAGTAGCATATCTCATTATCAGGATTAATAAAAGAACCACTCTGAAAGTGATCCAAGTGTACGCTCCGATCAAAAGCCACGACGATGAAGAAGTAGAAATATTTTATGATGAAATAAGAACAGCTGTAGAAACAAATAAAGCAAATTACGAAATACTATTAGGAGATTTTAATGCTAAATTGGGCAAAAAAAGAGGAAGATTATAAACATTTAATTGGTAACTATGGCTACGGGAAAAGAAAGGATAGAGGAGAAATGCTTCTCAATTTCATAAATGAACTTAACATGTACTCAATGAACTCCTTTTTCAATAAAAAACCAAGCAGAAAATGGACATGGATGACCCCGATAAAAAGACAATGAATGAAATAGATTATATCTTAACGAAGAATAGAAACCTAGTAGAAGACATATCAGTATTAAATCAGTTTGACCTAGGAAGCGATCATAGACTAATAAGAACAAAACTAATAATTAACAAAAAACTAGAAAGAAAAAGAATAAATGAAAAATGATACAAATGGACATCTGAAGAAATCAAACAGTGAATTTAATAAAAATATAGCGCATGCATTAAATAAAGTTAGCATGCAGCAGATAAACTCCAATGGTATTGATGATTTGAATAACCTTATTACCGAAACAGTGAATAAAAGCCTTCTGCAACTGAAAAAACGAAAAACAACATACAATGAATTAGACAAAGAAATATTACAACAAATAAAAAGAAGGAAGATCTTAAATAAATCTAACAAAAAGGAAACCAACGAATATAGAGAACTTAATAGGCAGATTAGAAAAGGAATCAGACAACAAAAAAGAAAAGAAAACGAAAAATTAATAACAACAACTATTGAAAAAAATAAAAGTATGAAATATCTCAGACCGACACTAGGACGACGTCAGATGATATAATTAATGGGAAGAGACGAAAATGAAATGACAACTAGAGAAAACATGCTGACACGAATAGAAGAATTTTACACAGAACTTTACAGAACACATCAGCAAGATGATGAGATGAGACCAGCACGGAAATTAATAAAAAATGTTGGATCAGAAATAATGCCAAAAGTAACAATTTCAGAGGTAACTACAGCATTGGAAAACATGAAGAGAAATAAAGCTCCAGGAGAAGATAGTATTACCATAGATATGATATTAGAAGGAGGTAAGGAACTAATTGCAATTGTAACTAAGCTTGTGGACAGTTGTTTACATCAAAACAAAGTCGCTAAGAGCTGGAATAACTCTAAAGTAATATTATTACACAAGAAAGGTGATAGTCGAAAATTGGAAAACTACAGACCCATCAGCCTACTGTCACACCTGTTTAAAATACTCACCAAAGTCATAACTACTCGACTAACAAGGAAATTAGACGAATACCAACCATATGAACAGGCAGGTTTTAGAAAAGGCTATTCAACTTCCGATCACCTGTTAACCACAAAAATATTAATAGAAAAATGTAACGAATACAAGTTTCCAGTTTTCCTAGCATTTGTAGACTACGAAAAAGCTTTCGATACCATAGAACACACGGCCGTAGTAAACGCAATGCAAAATTGTAGAATAGACAGCAGATATATTAACTTAATAAAAAAAAACTATGAACCAAGCTACAGCTACATACTACCTAAATGAAAATGAACACACGAACCCTGTACCATTAAACAGGGGAGTCAAACAGGGAGATACTTTATCACCCAAACTGTTCACCTTAGTTTAGGAGGACTTTTTAAAAACCTAAATTGGAAATATAAGGGAATAAACATCAATGGCCGCTACCTCAGTAATCTACGATTTGCAGATAAGCACATAATCCTGATAGCTACTGACCTATAAGAAATGCAAACCATGCTTATAGAACTACATACCGAATCTTCTAAAATAGGACTGAAAATGCATTTAAACAAAACAAAAGTCATGCACTTCGAAGACACCGTGACAATAATAAACGATAAAGTTATAGAAAAAGTTGAAGAATATATATACTTAGGACAAAAAATAATACTAAATAGGGAAATTCAAACTGAAGAAATAAAAAGAAGAAGAAAGTTAGCTTGGGCAGCATTCGGTAAACTGAACTATATACTCAAAAATCAACAAATTCAATTACATCTTAGATCTAAAGTTTTTGATGCATGCATTATTTCGATATTAAATTATGCGGTACAAACATGGACAATCACAAAAAAGAATATAAATATACTTAGAGTCACTCAACACGCGATTTAAAGAGCAATGCTAGGTATATCACTTAAGGACAAGAAAACAAACACATAATTAAGACAGAAAACCAAAGTCACTGATGTGGTGCAAAAATCATTAAATTTGAAATGGGAATACGCTGGACATGTAGCTAGGAGCTATCTAAACAAATGGTCCAGATCAATTTTAACCTGGAGACCATACCAACACAAAAGACCCAGAGGCAGACCTCCTATGAGATGGACAGATGATCTTAAACGTAGCGTACAATAAAAAAAAGGAAAGGAAGACTTGAAGAGGCTTATGTTCAGATGTGGACGTGAATCGCTAGACGAAGAAGAAGAAGAAGAAGAAATCCAGACTTCAACTAAATAATAGACCAGATTATGTGTTGGAAGCAAAGAAATGAAAATGGTGGAAACATATCTGTAATCGCTTTCTGCAATGAAGAAGATAGGTTTTTACCTCCAGCATGTGTTTTATAAGGAAAAAAAAAGTCGGCTTACGTAACAACTGATATTTTCCTTCTATGGCTAAGGAACCATTTTGTAACTAGGAAGCCTAAGGGAATAGTCGTGCTCATTGTGAATGGACATGGCTCCCATTGCAGCAGTATTAATACATTAGAGTTTACAGAGAAAAATAACATAGTTTTCCTCTGTCTACGTAGCCACACGGCCCATTATCTGCAGCCACTAGACAGAGCATTTTTTAAAGCCCCAAAATCGTATTATTTCAATGCATGTAATCCCTACATTAAAATAAATCTAATTAAAAAAATTCAAGACTAGTGTTTGAAGGACTGTGTACAAAGCCATGGGTACAAGCAGTTACGATAGATAACGAAATATTGGGATTCAGAAGTACAGGAATCATCCCGTTTAATTCTAATGCTATCCCCGAATATGTCTTTTTAACATCAGATTCAGATCAAAAGCAGAAAAACAACTAGCGACGTGAAAATAGACCTACTTCACCGCAACCAGGATGTTTACACTGACAGGAAACAACGAATTCCTCAGAAAAACCAAGGAACAACCCCCGGGAAATTCCTGGTCCATATTTCGCCGAAATTTATCCTAGATATAAGGTTTATTATTTTAAAAATTTAATGACTTATAGTAGATGCCAATTGATTGGATCCCCCGTAGCATGCCAGGGGTAATAATACTAGTTTTTATATAGGTAATTAGTTGTACACATGTTTACATAATTTGTAAACCTCTTTTTGAGAAT